GGTTACTTGTGGGTCCTGGTCGTGTAGTATGTTTATGTTGAAATCTCCTGTTAGTAGTAGGTGGTCTTTATTCATGTGTGCATCAGTAATCATGTTTCCTAGTTTTTCACTAAAGTGATAAATGTTTGACTGTGGTACTCTGTAGATGTTTATAACTGTGAGGGGTTTTTGCAGGTCTTTCGATTTAAATTTGGCTATGATATATTCTCCATGTTCATCCCTTGTGCAGGATTTATCGATGCATTCGAGTTGATTTGAATAGTATATAGCTGTTCCTCCCCCTTGCTGGTCTGTTCTACAGTTGTGTATGGCCATGTAGCCAGGAATGGTATAGAAATCTGTAATATCAGGCTTAAGCCAGGTTTCTGTGAGTGTGATGATTGATATTTTGGAATAAAGTGAATTGAATAATGCTGTGAGGTCATCATAATGTTTGCTCAAGGATCTGATATTATAGTTAAAGATGGTTATGTTATTGTTTGCACTGAGTAACGTCTTTGCTTGGTCTGCTGTGTAGTAATTACAGTTGCTGTTTGATTCGTGTATTTCATTTAGTAAAAAGTTTACATCAGGATCTATGCCTGTAATCATAGGATGAGAGTAATTTTACAAACTCGATTTTCTGAGTAAAATAATGTAAGATTTATATTGAATCTACAACTAGACTTATGAATAAGACTGTAATTATTCTAAAACTTGTAAAAATTTGAAAGAAAAAGGGATTATTACAGTACAGATAATTCAATTATACACTTACTCATCTAATAGCACCTCAATTATTTCAACAAATGTGAGTTTATGAACTACGGTAGATATTTTACAGCTAGAATAAAGGAGCTAGTGAATATAGTAATAAAAGAATGTATTAAAAACAAGAATGTATTAAAACAAAATCAGTAGCACATAAACCATCTCAGACCACTAATTACCCAACAAAAGGCTGCAGTCAGAATGATAACAAATTCCCACTACAGGCAGCACACTCCACCAATATTCAAAACTCTAAACCTACTCACCATACAAAACTTCCACACTTATTATTGTACCTACTGCATGCATAGAACAACTAACTCGGATGTAAACCCTCCCCTCAAATGTCTCCTTACCAACCTCAGCAGAACACATGACCATAACACAAGACACAGATCACTCTTTGATGTTCCTCATGTCCATCTCACACTATGTAAAAACTCAATGCACATAAAAGGCCCAAAAATCTGGAATTCATTACCTGTGAATATGAAAGAAACACTGTTTATAAATTCAAGTCTTCTTAAAAATCACTTACTCACCCAGTATTTAGATAAGGCTAAAGAGGTCTTTGTGGCATTTATGGATTTGGAAAAGGCATATGACAGGGTGGATAGGGGGCAATGTGGCAGATGTTGCAGGTGTATGGTGTAGGAGGTAGGTTACTGAAAGCAGTGAAGAGTTTTTACGAGGATAGTGAGGCTCAAGTTAGAGTATGTAGGAAAGAGGGAAATTATTTCCCAGTAAAAGTAGGCCTTAGACAAGGATGTGTGATGTCACCGTGGTTGTTTAATATATTTATAGATGGGGTTGTAAGAGAAGTAAATGCGAGGGTCTTGGCAAGAGGCGTGGAGTTAAAAGATAAAGAATCACACATAAAGTGGGAGTTATCACAGTTGCTCTTTGCTGATGACACTGTGCTCTTGGGAGATTCTGAAGAGAAGTTGCAGAGATTGGTGGATGAATTTGGTAGGGTGTGCAAAAGAAGAAAATTAAAAGTGAATACAGGAAAGAGTAAGGTTATGAGGATAACAAAAAGATTAGGTGATGAAAGATTGGATATCAGATTGGAGGGAGAGAGTATGGAGGAGGTGAATGTATTCAGATATTTGGGAGTGGACGTGTCGGCGGATGGGTCTATGAAAGATGAGGTGAATCATAGAATTGATGAGGGGAAAAGGGTGAGTGGTGCACTTAGGAGTCTGTGGAGACAAAGAACTTCGTCCTTGGAGGCAAAGAGGGGAATGTATGAGAGTATAGTTTTACCAACGCTCTTATACGGGTGTGAAGCATGGTGATGAATGTTGCAGCGAGGAGAAGGCTGGAGGCAGTGGAGATGTCATGTCTGAGGGCAATGTGTGGTGTGAATATAATGCAGAGAATTCGTAGTTTGGAAGTTAAGAGGAGGTGCGGGATTACCAAAACTGTTGTCCAGAGGGCTGAGGAAGGGTTGTTGAGGTGGTTCGGACATGTAGAGAGAATGGAGCGAAACAGAGTGACTTCAAGAGTGTATCAGTCTGTAGTGGAAGGAAGGCGGGGTAGGGGTCGGCCTAGGAAAGGTTGGAGGGAGGGGGTAAAGGAGGTTTTGTATGCGAGGGGCTTGGACTTCCAGCAGGCATGCGTGAGCGTGTTTGATAGGAGTGAATGGAGACAAATGATTTTTAATACTTGACGTGCTGTTGGAATGTGAGCAAAGTAACATTTATGAAGGGGTTCAGGGAAACCGGCAGGCCGGACTTGAGTCCTGGAGATGGGAAGTACAGTGCCTGCACTCTGAAGGAGGGGTGTTAATGTTGCAGTTTAATAACTGTAGTAGTGTAAAGTACCCTTCCGGCAAGACAGTGATGGAGTAAATGATGGTGAAAGTTTTTCTTTTTCGGGCCACCCTGCCTTGGTGGGAATTGGCCAGTGTGATAATAAAATAATTGTATCTCATAAATGTTTAACCTGTGACCCAATCAAACTTTGTTATTTTTAATTACATTATCTTACAGAAAACTCCATTCTACTGAATGCACAACAACACAGTAAATGACCATATGACCTGTCTTTGAAATAATCATTTGTGCTTAATTGTTATTTGTTTACAATAATGTTTAACACTGAATATATCATTGCTTAGTTAATCTTAAGTTAATTTTAAACCTGCCTATAATGCTCTCCATGTAAGGGGCTTTGGCATGTTACACTTAACCACTGTATTTCTTTGTACTTCTATGTATCATGTTCAAATTAATAAATAAATAAATAAACTCATCATTGGTTCTATAATCCACATTGTTGGAGGTGTCACTGAGAAATGGAACATGTTCAGTTCATCTGGGAGTGAGGCCCTTCTGTCCTCATGTATTGGTGATGAAAGTGTACCAAATATATTCCCACAATGCATTGCAGGGGCCTCGATTTTTTGTAAAATGTGCACACTGCACAAACCCATTCTCTCATATGCAGATCTGTCACACTGAATTTGAAGCTGCTAGAATTTATGCATAGATCAGAGAAACTGGTTATTTTTATATAGCATGACTTGAGTTTTGGAAATGGGAAGTACAGTGCCTGCACTTTAAAGGAGGGGTTTGGGATATTGGCAGTTTGGAGGGATATGTTATAAATCTTTATATATGCTTCTAAACTGTTGTATCTGGGCACCTCTACAAAAACAGTGATTATGTATGAGTGAGGTGAAAGTGTTGAATGATGATGAAAGTATTTTCTTTTTGGGTCACCCTGCCTTGGTGGGAAACAGCCGACTTGTTGAAAAAAAAAAAATCTATGTAAGCAACCCTGGCATCAGTAGTGTAGATCTACATGAAGGCCACCAAAAGGATTAATATTTGGATTTACCAGACACTCAGACAACACCCCTCTCCCCATTAGTCCATTAACCCTTTGACTGTCGCAACCCCCAATCCTGAGATGTCTCCTGGTGTCACAAAATATTTGAAAAAAAAAAAAAAAAATTTTCGATGGTAATGACACCAAAAGTACAAAATTTGATGGAAAACTTGCAGAATTACGCTCTCGCGAAGTTAGCAACCTCGGTGATATTTACAAATTGGCGATTTTGCCCACTTTGAGCCCTATTTTTGGCTAATTCCATTGTTCCAGTTGACCAAACTCATAGCTGTTTCTTTAGAAATCCATTTGTTATATCAATTCAGTACAAGAAACTGCTCATTTACTGATTTCAACAACCCAATAAAGTGGTCAGAAATTGGCAATTTGGCCAATTTCATGCAAATTAAAAAATATGCCAATTTCAAAATAGGGTCCAGAATGAACAATGCAGACATTCCTGACTCTAAAATAACATTTTTCTCTGTTCATCAGTCATGTCTCCAGGCCCCTCTGATATTGCTCTTGCTTTCTGTTTTGAATTTTTATTCAAAAAATAGAAGATTTACTGTTATGCAGATTACTACAATATTGTAATAATTGTATAAATAATGTCAATCTATTCATGACTGCATATCAGAATGGCTAGTTGGACACTTATTGGACAATGTTGGACATTTATTTACTCTTGAAAATCTGCAAAAATGACACATTTCCCCTACTTCGAGCTCCATTTCAAGGTCCTTTTCATAGTTAAACCAAACAAAATTATCTCTATTTCTGTAATATGTTTTCCATTCTATCAAATGAGACCAAGAAAACGAGAATACAACCTTAAATACCATACAAAAATACACCTCAAAGTTGGCGCTTTAATCCAAAAACACGGTCGGAGTTTTTTTTTTTTTTCATTATGCACTGCGTGCTGCAGGATTTTTTTATACAGTGCACACTGACCACACAGACCCATTCTCTCACAAGTGGGCCTACCAGCTTTCTCCCACTTGATTTGAAGCCACTAGAATTTTTGAGTATATATACAAAACACATTGGCTCATAAGACATATGTATACAACCGAAACAGTCAAAGGGTTAAATCCAGGGTGCACGACTGGAAGAGAATTATTTCATATCATATACCAAGTTCAAATTTATCATGGTCATTTTATGAAAAATTAAATATTGGTTCTTCACATACAAATTTGAAAGTGTATTTAGATGAAGTGTATATTTGATGTCACTCCTAATTGTTCACACATTTGTTGATAACTTATTGTTGCTCCTCTTTATAGCCTTCCAATTTTAAATCATTCATTGATTTTCAGGTCTGTATATTATGTACTAGTATATTGAACAGAATGCTCACCTATACAATATTATTGTTGTAATAATGTCATTGTTCCTTCACATTTCAGCACTCAGATTAATGAATTGGAAGCCTTAGGGATCAGCAATATCTTCCGAAAACTATTGCTGTTCTTCCCACCGTCAGTTTTAGTGGCTTTACCAGAGGAGATGCTTCGCCAACTTGTAGAGAACCTGACAGCGTTGACCTGCAAGTTTGCTCAAGGTGCTGCACAGGAAGAAATGGTGAGTGTCAGTACGAGAGTAAGAGTCTCACTGAAGCATCAACTGTACAGTAGCTTCAGGATGATAGCTTCACACTGAGGAGGATTGTCATTCCATTATAACTTGTATTTTCTTAACCTTTTTTTTTGTGCAATTGGTTCTTTTTATTTTTTTTTATATTATTATCTCACTGGCCGATTCCCAGCAAGGCAGGGTGGCCCAAAAAAGAAAAACTTCCACCATCATTCACTCCATCACTGTCTTGCCAGAAGGGTGCTTTACACTACAGTTTTTAAACTGCAACATTAACACCCCTCCTTCAGAGTGCAGGCACTGTACTTCCCATCTCCAGGACTCAAGTCCGGCCTGCCGGTTTCCCTGAACCCCTTCATAAATGTTACTTTGCTCACACTCCAACAGCACATCAAGTATTAAAAACCATTTGTCTCCATTCACTCCTATCAAACACACTCACGCATGCCTGCTGGAAGTCCAAGCCCCTCGCACACAAAACCTCCTTTACCCCCTCCCTCCAACCTTTCCTAGGCCGACCCCTACCCTGCCTTCCTTCCACTACAGACTGATACACTCTTGAAGTCATTCTGTTTCGCTCCATTCTCTCTACATGTCTGAACCACCTCAACAACCCTTCTTTTTATTTGCCATATTATATTTAAGGCCTATTGAGATACTGAAATATAGTCATGATGCAATCATGGCTGACTCCAGGGCTTTTGTGATTATGTACAAAATTTGTTTAATATATAATAAATAATTTTCTTAGTTAATATTATAATTATGATCCTCAGCATGCCAGAAAATTGTCAGTGTTTTATGTATATCTAAGATTTCTTTTATGCTTAATTATTCTAGTGAGAGAGTACTTGTAGTTGGGGATTTCAATGCTTCAGTGGGTAAAAATGTTGTGGAAGGAGTACCCTACAATATACTTTACCAGGTAAAATGTAGGGTAGGGTTATTATTGAAAGAATTAGAGGTAAGATGGAGAGCAGGATTGAAGATGAGCAAGGAGGCTTTAGAAAGGGTAGGGGATGTGTAGATCATGTTTACATTGAAGCATATATGTGAATGGTATTTAGGTAAAGGTAGGAAAGTTTTCAATGCATTTATGGATTTAGAAAAGACATATGATAAGAGTGGATGGGAGAGAAATGTGGCAGCTGTTGCAAGTGTATGGAATAGGTAGTAAGTTATAAATGCTATAAAGAACTTTTTTTGAGGATGGTGAAGCTCAGGTTAGGGTGTGTACTAGAGAGAGAGATTACTTTCCAGTAAAAGTAGGTCTTAGACAGGGATGTGTAATGTCACCATGGTTGTTTGACGTACGTACAGTAGGGCCCAGCTTATACGGCAGGTTAGGTTCCAGGCTACCTCCATAAAGCGGAAATTGCTGTAAAGTGGAACACCTGCTTTTTCCACTTATAAATGCATAGAAATAATAGATAACAAGTTTACACTAACATATATTAAGTTAGCAGTAGAACTCATAGGTAGTAGGTTGGTAAACAGCAACCGCCCAGGGAGGTACTACCGTCCTGCCATGTGAGTGTACAACAAAAACCTGTAATTATTTTACATCATGGTACGATTGCTAGTGTCTTGTCTGTCTCATAAACATGCAAGATTTCAGGTATGTCTTGCTACTTCTACTTGCACTTAGGTCACACTACACATACATGTTCAAGCATATATATACACACCCCTCTGGGTATTCTTTTATTTTCTTTCTAGTTCTTGTTCTTGTTTATTTCCTCTTATCTCCATCTTGCTACTTCTACTTACATTAAGGCCACACTACACATGCCTGTACAAGCATAGACATATACACGCTTCTGGGTTTTCTATTTTTCTTACTCGTTCTTGTTCTTGTTTATTTCCATTTATCTCCATGGGGAAGTGGAACAGAATTCTTCCTCCGTAAGCCATGCGTGTTGTAAGAGGCGACTAAAATGCCGGGAGCAAGGGGCTAGTAACCCCTTCTCCCGTATAAATTACTAAATTTAAAAGAGAAACTTTCGTTTTTCTTTTTGGGCCACCCTGCCTTGGTGGGATACAGCTGGTGTGTTGAAAGAAGAAAGAAAGCAGTAGAACTAGACATTAAAAAACAATAAGAAAAGTAAAATACACATACATATAGCACACTCATTACTTAAAATATTTGTAGTCTTAATCTAGGGTTAGATGTGTAGTATTCTTTTTTTTTTTCCAACAAACCGGCCGTATCCCACCAAGGCAGGGTAGCCCAAAAAGAAAAAGGAAATAAGATAAAATAAGATAAGATAAGATTTCGTTCGGATTTTTAACCCCGGAGGGTTAGCCACCCAGGATAACCCAAGAAAGTCAGTGCGTCATCGAGGACTGTCTAACTTATTTCCATTGGGGTCCTTAATCTTGTCCCCCAGGATGCGACCCACACCAGTCGACTAACACCCAGGTACCTATTTGCTGCTAGGTGAACAGGACAACAGGTGTAAGGAAACGTGTCGAAATGTTTCCACCCGCCGGGAATCGAACCCGGGCCCTCTGTGTGTGAAGCGGGAGCTTTAGCCACCAGGCCACCAGGCCACCGGGCCTGTGTGGTATGTATGGTAACCAGCCAAGTTACCATACCAGGCCACCCCACCTACACATAATATTCTATGACATTTAAGCATCCCAGAGCGATAAAATGCATATACAGGTCACTTAATACTTACCTTAAATTATTTGTAGTCTTAATTTAGGGTCAGAGGTGAGTAAACGAGATAAAACGAATAAATGAGAGAGAGAGTATATGTACATGAGAGAGGACAGGCGTGGAGTTATGTAAACAAACCAGGCAAACGCAAGTTTTGTAAATGAACCAGGCGAACACATCTGGTTTCTGTACAAGTTACATTGTGTACAAGTTGTCTCTACATTGATACGGTAGAATAAAGAGGAACACTCCCTTTCTCATGTAACACCATTTTTAGAAGAAATGACACTCTGAGTGAAGGCACATGAAAGGCATAATTTTCTACAGTTACCCCCCAGTAACACATTTTCTTTTATGTTGGACTAGAGATAACGTCATTCTTGCTATCACTCGTACAAGTTGTCTGGCTACCACATCTCATATTTCTTTCTTCTTTCAACGTACCAGTCGTATCCCACTCAGATGGGGTGGCCCAAAAAGAACAACAAAAGTTTCTCCTTTTAAATTTAGTGATATATACAGGAGAAGGGGTTACTAGCCCCTTGCTCCCGACATTTTAGTCGCTTCTTACAACACGCATGGCTTACGGAGGAAGAATTCTGTTCCACTTCCCCATGGAGATAAATGGAAATAAACAAGAACAAGAACGAGTAAGAAAAATAGAAAACCCAGAAGCGTGTATATGTCTATGCTTGTACAGGCATGTGTAGTGTGGCCTTAATGTAAGTAGAAGTAGCAAGACGTACCTGAAATCTTGTATGTATACGAGACAGAAAAAAAGACACCAGCAATCCTACCATCATGTAAAACAATTACAGGCTTTCATTTTACATACACTTGGCAGGACGGTAGTACCTGTCTGGGTGGTTGCTGTCTACCAACCTACTACCTACGACATCTCATTTTTTTTTTTTTTATCACACTGGCCGATTCCCACCAAGGCAGGGTGGCCCGAAAAAGAAAAACTTTCACCATCATTCACTCCATCACTGTCTTGCCAGAAGGGTGCTTTACACTACAGTTTTTAAACTGTAACATTAACACCCCTCCTTCAGAGTGCAGGCACTGTACTTCCCATCTCCAGGACTCAAGTCCGGCCCGCCGGTTTCTCTGAACCCCTTCATAAATGTTACTTTGCTCACACTCCAACAGCACGTCAAGTATTAAAAACCATTTGTCTCCATTCACTCCTATCAAACACGCTCACGCATGCCTGCTGGAAGTCCAAGCCCCTCGCACACAAAACCTCCTTTACCCCCTCCCTCCAACCTTTCCTAGGCCGACCCCTACCCCGCCTTCCTTCCACTACAGACTGATACACTCTTGAAGTCACTCTGTTTCGCTCCATTCTCTCTACATGCCCGAACCACCTCAACAACCTTCCTCAGCCCTCTGGACAACAGTTTTTGTAATCCCGCACCTCCTCCTAACTTCCAAACTACGAGTTCTCTGCATTATATTCACACCACACATTGCCCTCAGACATGACATCTCCACTGCCTCCAGCCTTCTCCTCGCTGCAACATTCATCACCCATGCTTCACACCCATATAAGAGCGTTGGTAAAACTAAACTCTCATACATTCCCCTCTTTGCCTCCAAGGACGAAGTTCTTTGTCTCCACAGACTCCTAAGTGCACCACTCACCCTTTTCCCCTCATCAATTCTATGATTCACCTCATCTTTCATAGACCCATGTGCTGACACGTCCACTCCCAAATATCTGAATACATTCACCTCCTCCATACTCTCTCCCTCCAATCTGATATCCAATCTGTCATGACCTAATCTTTTTGTTATCCTCATAACCTTACTCTTTCCTGTATTCACTTTTAATTTTCTTCTTTTGCACACCCTACCAAATTCATCCACCAATCTCTGCAACTTCTCTTCAGAATCTCCCAAGAGCACAGTGTCATCAGCAAAGAGCAACTGTGACAACTCCCACTTTATGTGTGATTCTTCATCTTTTAACTCCACGCCTCTTGCCAAGACCCTCGCATTTACTTCTCTTACAACCCCATCTATAAATATATTAAACAACCACGGTGACATCACACATCCTTGTCTAAGGCCTACTTTTACTGGGAAGTAATTTCCCTCTTTCCTACATACTCTAACTTGAGCCTCAATATCCTCATAAAAACTCTTCACTGCTTTCAGTAACCTACCTCCTACACCATACACCTGCAACCTCTGCCACATTGCCCCCCTATCCACCCTGTCATACGCCTTTTCCAAATCCATAAATGCCACTTATATGTTTAACTGTAAACACCTGGTCCACACACCCCCTACCTTTCCTAAAGCCTCCTTGTTCATCTGCTATCCTATTCTCCGTCTTACTCTTAATTCTTTCAATAATAACTCTTCCATACACTTTACCAGGTATACTCAACAGACTTATCCCCCTATAATTTTTGCACTCTCTTTTGTCCCCTTTGCCTTTATACAAAGTAACTATGCATGCTCTCTGCCAATCCCTAGGTACATTACCCTCTTCCATACATATATTAAATAATTGCACCAACCACTCCAAAACTATATCCCCACCTGCTTTTAACATTTCTACCTTTATCCCATCAATCCCGGCTGCCTTACCCCCTTTCATTTTACCTACTCCCTCACGAACTTCCCCCCACACTTACAATTGGCTCTTCCTCACTCCTACAAGATGTTATTCCTCCTTGCCCTGTACACGAAATCACAGCTTCCGTATCTTCATCAACATTTAACAGTTCCTCAAATATTCCCTCCATCTTCCCAATACCTCTAACTCCATTTAATAACTCTCCTCTCCTATTTTTAACTGACAAATCCATTTGTTCTCTAGGCTTCCTTAACTTGTTAATCTCACTCCAAAACTTTTTCTTATTTTCAACAAAATTTGTTGATAACATCTCACCCACTCTCTCATTTGCTCTCTTTTTACATTGCTTCATCACTCTCTTAACCTCTCTCTTTTTCTCCATATACTCTTCCCTCCTTGCATCGCTTCTACTTTGTAAAAACTTCTCATATGCTAACTTTTTCTCCCTTACTAAATCTCTTTACATCATCATTCCACCAGTCGCTCCTCTTCCCTCCCGCACCCACTTTCCTGTAACCACGAACTTCTGCTGAACACTTTAACACTACATTTTTAAACCTACCCCATACCTCTTCGGCCCCATTGCCTATGCTCTCATTAGCCCATCTATCCTCCAATAGCTGTTTATATCTTACCCTAACTGCCTCCTCTTTTAGTTTATAAACCTTCACCTCTCTCTTCCCTGATGCTTCTATTCTCCTTGTATCCCATCTACCTTTTACTCTCAGTGTAGCTACAACTAGAAAGTGATCTGATATATCTGTGGCCCCTCTATAAACATGTACATCCTGAAGTCTACTCAACAGTCTTTTATCTACCAATGCATAATCCAACAAAGTACTGTCATTTCGCCCTATATCATATCTTGTATACTTATTTATCCTCTTTTTCTTAAAATATGTATTACCTATAACTAAACCCCTTTCTATACAAAGTTCAATTAAAGGGCTCCCATTATCATTTACACCTGGCACCCCAAACTTACCTACCACACCCTCTCTTAAAGTTTCTCCTACTTTAGCATTCAGACCCCCTACCACAATTACTCTCTCACTTGGTTCAAGGGCTCCTATACATTCACTTAGCATCTCCCAAAATCTCTACTGTGAGGTGTTTTTATCGTCTTTATATGTTATGTATTGTGATTATTATATAATTTTGAAAAAATATCATAGATGGGTTAATGAAAATGTGTATATTAACGTAAAATACGACATTTAATGAGAGTGATTATTATTATTATTATTATTATTATTATTATTATTATTATCATCATCATTACTAATATGGCGTCTCGAGACATAAAACACTCTTACTGATTTTAATGTGTACCTGTATGCCAGCACAGTATGTAAGTACTGTATATTTAGGTACAGGTATACATCAGTTTAATCATCAGAGTATGTATTTATAAAATATGAAATAACTTTTAAAAACACTTGAAATTTTGGAGTTTCCAGACATAATGGAGAGACGTGGTGCTTATGGAGCTCATGGAGAATGTAAACAAACCGGGTGGGGTGCGGTGACCGTATTAGAAAGTCAGGTGGGGGAGCGGTATAGCGAGTTTTGGTCATAATTTGAAATGTCCGTATTAGTGAAACGCCGTGAAGCGGAGCCGTACTGTATTTCTAGATAGGGTTGTAAAAGAATAAATGCTAGGGTGTTGAGCAGAGGGGTGGGATTAAATTATGGGGAATCAAATACAAAATGGGGGTTGACACAGTTACTTTTTGCTGATGATATTGTGAGAAAAATTGCAAAGGTTAGTGGACAAGTTTGGGAGGGTATGTAAAGGTAGAAAGTTGAAAATGAACATAGATAAGGGTAAGATGATGAGGGTATCAAACAGTTTAGATAAAAAAAATTGGATATCATTTTGGAGGGAGGTACCATGGAAGTGAATGTTTTCAGATATGGAGTGGACTTGTCAATGGATGGGTTTATGAAGAATGAGGCTAACCATAGAATTGATGAAGGAAAAAAGGTGAGTGGTGCGTTGAGGTATCTGTGGAAACAAAAAACGTTATCCATGTAGGCAAAGAAGGGAATGTATGAGAGTATAGTGATACCAACCCTCTTGTATGGGTGTGAAGCATGGGTTGTAAATCCTGCAGTGAGGAGGAAGCTGGAGGGAGTGGAGATGTTGTGTGGTGTAAATATTATGCAGAGAATTCGTAGTGTGGAAATTAGGAGAAGGTGTGGAGTTACTAAAAGTATTAGTCAGAGGGCTGAAGTGTGGCTGTTGAGGTGGTTTGGTCATTTAGAGAGAATGGAATGACTTGGAAAGCGTATAAATCTGTAGGGAATGAAGGCGGGGTAGGAGTCATCCTGGAAAAGGTTGGAGGGAGGGAGTAAAGGAAGTTTTGTGGGAGAGGGGCTTTGACTTCAGCAAGCATGCATGAGCATGTTAGACAGGAGTGAATGGAGGCAAATGGCTTTTGGGACCCAACAAGCTGTTGGAGTGTGAGCAGGGCATTATATTGTGAAGGGATTCAGAGAAATTGGTTAGCTGGACTTGAGTCTTGGAAATGGGAAGTACAGTGCCTGCACTTTAACCCTTTGACTGTTTTGGTCGTATATATACATCATACGAGCCAGTGTTTCGGACATGTATATACTCAATAATTCTAGCAGCTTCAAATCAAGCAGGAGAAAGGTGGTAGGTCCATATGTGAGAGAATGGTTCTGTGTGGTCAGTGTGCACCACTTAAAAAAAATCCTGCAGCACGCGGTGCATAATGAGAGAAAAAAACTGACCGGTTTTTTTTGGGGGGGGGGGGATTAAAACGCTGAATTTGAGGTGCATTTTTGTATAGTATTTATCGTTGTATTCTCCTTTTCATGGTCTCATGTGATAAAGTGGAAAACATATTGCAGAAATAGAGATGATTTTGATTAGTTTCACAATGAAAATGACCTTGAAATTGAGCTCAAAGTAGCAGAAATGTTCGATTTTTACCAATGTTCAGGAGTAAGCAAATCACACCACACGTCCAATACACGTCAACTGGGGAGTCTAATATTCTTTCACTAGTGCACTGATATTATTTATATCATTTTCACAATAATGCAGTAGTCTGCATAACAGTAAATTTTGTATTTTTTGTATGAATAAAAAATCAAAATAGAAAGCAATAGTAATATAAGAGGGGCCTAGAGACATGACTGATGAACAGAGGATATGTTATTTTAGTGCCAAGAATGTCTACATTGTTTATTCTGGACCCTATTTTGAAATTGGCATCTTTTTTAGTTTGCGTTAAATTGGCCAAATTACCAATTTCTGACCACTTTATTGGGTAGTTCAAATCGGTAAATGGGCGGTTTCTTGTGCTCAATTGATAGAAAAAATGGAGTTCTAAAGAAATAGCTATGAGTTGGGTCAGCTGGAACAATGGAATTGGCCAAAAATAGGGCTCAAAGTCGGCGAAATCGCCGATGCGTATATGTCGCTGAGACCACTAACTTCGCAGGAGTGTAATTCTCTGAATTTTCAACCAAATTTCGTACTTTTGGTGTCATTACCATCGGGAAAAGATTCTCTATCATTTCAGAAGAAAAAATAATTTTTATTTTTTTTTCCAAAAATTTGGCAACAGAATGCCAGTTTCAGAAAGGGGCTTGACAGTCAAAGGGTTAAAGGAGGGGTTTGGGATATTGGCAGTTTGGAGGTTGACTTTTAAACTGTCGTATCTGAGTGCCTCTACAAAGACACTGGTTATTTATGAATGAAAGTGAAAATGTTGTATGATGATAGTTTTTTCTTTCTTTTTTTCCATTTTCTTTCATTTTGGGTCAGCCTGCCTCGGTGGGAGACGGCCGATGTGTTAAAAAAAAATTCTACCTTTTGTGTTGTGTATGTTTGGTTAGTCTTTCCAAGGAAATTTATATCAGTATAGTATAGAAAATAAACTTTGAATTGAATTTGAATTGTACACTGGGTGCATCATGGGTGATTAAGTTTTAAAAATAACAGGTTATTCAATTACTACTCTACTTATTTTTTTTTTTTTCTTTTTTTTTTTTTTTTTTTTTTTTTTTTTTTTTTTTTTTTTTTGAGAAATGAGGCTCGATTTTATTTAACCCTTAAATTGTCCAAACGTAGAGCTACGTTCACTCACGTAGCACTCCGAACATAGATCTCCTTTTTTTTTATGTAAAGCATACAAAATCGAACGCAGATCTATGTTTGGAGGGCTACATAAGTGAACGTAGATCTACGTTTGGACAGTTTCTGAGTTAAGAAATATTATTTGTTTGTATTTTTTAACAGATTTTCTTGGTAAGGAATTAACAACTTAATATCTTTTATTTTGTTTCCTTAAATTTTTTACTGGCTATGAACTCATGCTGAGCATTGTTTGTGTGTCATTCCAAATAGCCAAGTTTTAATTGTTTTAATTGCATATTAATGGGGCTTTTTTTGTTGTAAGTATTGTAGTCTGCACAGTCTAAAGTAATGTATAAACATTTCCAAGGCTACACCTCTCATAACCATACTTCAGTTGCCATTCTGACCAGAGTAAAATAGTGCATTTATGGAACTATTTCTCCATTGTGTTAATGTGTTAATGATTGATTCTTTGCTCCAGGTGGATCATGAAGACCAACTCTATATGGAAGCCTTTGAACAAATGCTGCAGTCCTGGGCTTGTATCTTGCAAGAAGGTAGTAGTTGTAACAGTTCTCAGGTCAAACAGAGTGCCACTCTTATATTTGATACATACCTCAAGTGTCATTTAGCACCTCCTGAAGGCTCACGAGTACCGGTAAGTAGAGAACATGTGTGCAGCTAAACCTATGATGATGCTAACATGATGATAATCTTTAGATGCTTATAATTTTTTAATAATGTTAGTGATTGAGGTTTAGTGTCATTTATTATATACGTACATCTGTTTGTTTGTCTGATAAGAAATTTTATTAGAGATATTGTATATATTGTACAGTAGAACCTCTCATATTTTACATTCCTACAGTCTTCAGTACAAGTAAATTTGCAATTTGCTGAGTGAAAACCATACTGTGTCAATAGGTTATTTTTTTACACTTAAGAAAATGGACAAACAGATTGATTTTATTTCTTATTTCATCAACAATAATGAAGTTTTTGTTATGAATGTTCTTGCATGTTTATCGAGATATGTGAAGAGGGTTGATGTGGCTGTACGAGGGCACATAAAAAGTTACATTATGTAAATTTAACCACCTAGAATAACCCAGTAAAGTTAAACAGTATAACAGCTTGTAGGTAAAAAGGTTCTGTAAAATAATTGATTTTTACTAAAATTCTGAGTGGTATTGTTGTACTTGCTTATCTTGAAAAGCAAGTGTGTAGAGAAGCTTTGTACAATACCTGTACATCTGACAGGTAGTGTTATATAACTGCTACTAACACCACCTTCCAGAACTGTCACCACCTAATACCACCACCACTTAAATTACAAATCCGGCATCATTGGGACCTGTAGTGTGCCGGATTATTGAGTTTGCCGGATTACAGAGTGGTTAGGTTAGAATACACTCAATAAATTTAACCAACTTGACTTACACAGAGTTCATTGAACATCGGCAAAAATAGAACATTTCCGCTACTTTGAGCTCAATTTCAAGGTACTTTTCGTCATGAAAGCAATCAAAATCATGTCTATTTCTGTAATATATCTTCCATTCTATCAAATGAGTCCAAAAAAATGAGAATACAACCATAAAAACCATACGAAAATATACTGCAAAGAGGCGGCTAATGGCTGAGTAGTGAACTCCCTTATTTATCGTCCGTCTTTTTTATTTTTGTTGTATGTTAAGAAGCATCTTTCCATCATACATTGCCCAAGTTTCAATGAGATAGCCCAACAAACAACTGAGAAAAAAAATATTTACCAAAAATCATATATGGCAAGCCCAAGCCAGGTACTGGAAATAAGTCACTTTGTCTGACTTTTCTGGGTTATCTTATACATACACTGCTATGTATGATAATCTATGTAACTGTATTTGTGTATACCTGAATAAACTTATTTACTTCTAGTCTGTCAACAGAGTACAAGAAACTGCCCATTCACTTATTTCAACTACCCAATAAAGTGGTCAGAAATTGGCAATTTGGCCGATTTCACACAAATTTCAACAGATGCCAATTTCAAAATAGGGTCCAGAATAAACAATGCAGACATTCCTGGCACTAAAATAACATTTTCTCTGTTCATTAGTCATGGCTACAGGCCCCTCTCATATTACTCTTGCTTACCATTTGGAATTTTTATTCACAAAAAAATAGAAGATTTACTGTTATGCAGACTGCTGCATTATTGTAATAATTGTATAAATAATGTCAACCCATTCTTGACTCCGTATTGGAATTTGGACTGGCAGGAGGACAGGTATTGGACGGTGAGGTCATTTGTTTACTCTTGAGCTTCGCTAAAGAACAGAACATTTTCGCTACTGTGAGCGCAATCAAAATCATATCTATTTCTGTAATATATTTTTCATTCTATCAAATGAGACCAAAAAATGAGAATATAACCATAAAAACCATACAAAAATATACCGCTAATGGCTAAGAAGTGAACTCCACTATTTATGGTCTGATTTCTTTCATTTTTGGTGTACGTAACGAAGTATCTTTCCATCATACATTGCCCAAGTTTGAGTAAGATAACCCAACAAACAGAAAAAATAATAATAATATAATAATAATAATAATATCTTTATTTACTACACGTACATGTACAAGGTATACAGGCCTAGCTGACATATAGAAAGCCGCTTGTTATGCAGAGTATTTCAAGAAAATTAGGTCAGTGTCCCAGGATAACACCCACGCTAGTTGGCTAACACCCAGGTACCCATTTACTGATGGGTAAACATAGACAACAGGTGTAAAGAAACACACCTAATGTTTCTACCCTGGCTGGGAATCTAATATTTACCAAAAATCGTATATGGCTAACCCAAGCCAGGTACTAGAAATAAGCCACGTTGACTTTTTTGGGTTATCTTAGGTTCTCTACACATATGCTGCTATGTGTGATAATCTGTATAGAGAAAATAACTTTTTTGTTTCAGGTTTATGGTGCAACACGAGTGTATATCACAGTTAGCCCTGTGCTACACTCCGTTTTCTCTAATATAAGCCCCAAGACAGGGATAGGAGAATGGTATTTGTATACCATATCCTCTTCATACCTCCGTCGAACTGCTCGGTGTTATGACAAATATTATTCATTCTGGAGTATTTAACATGTTTTATGTTATTTATATTGTTTCTTATGTCATATTAGATCAAATAAGTTGTAGTGTTGATATTAGCATAATAATAAAGCATATTCTCCTGCATCATGAGACTGAGTTCATGGCAACCGACAGTGGCTTCAAAGCCACCTTATCTTTAATGGATAATGTACTGTGTAGGTGCTTTACATAATGAGAAGCATTTCTTTTATTCACTGGAACCATGGCTAGGGCTAAAAGTAAGCAGGTTAAAACAATAAATGGAGAAAAAGAAATTGGAATGACTTATGCAGCGCCACCAAACAGTACCAGCAGGTTGGTGTGGCGACCCTGGAAATTTGAAATTATGTTAGCCAAAATTAGTGCCGAATAACTGAAGGAACCGAATAACTGATTGCCGGATTTGTGATGGCGGACCTGTACTACCTGCCACCATTAACTGGAGAAAGGAGATTGTTGACAGTTTAGTGTGTTTTCCTTCCGTAGAAAATGGGCAGTTTATTCATTACAGAGAAATTAGGCAAGGCTCAATACGGCTCTTGTGATCATTATAGCTTCACTACACAATTTTTTTTAATTTAAAAGATTATGTAAAACAATTTTTTATACTATTTAATTCTGGTTGGTGTTGCATACTGACCTTGACATTAGTGGAGAGGGCTGCTGTGGGTCCCTTAACACTGTTTAGCTGTAATGACTTCTTGGATAATCGTTTGCCATGCTAAAATCTGGGTTACTTATAATATAGGTTCTTATTTTCACCTCATTGTCACTTGACGTATGGTTTGTTGATTCTCTTAACACCAAAATCATGTGCAGTTTTCACCACACATGCAGCACCCTTAAGCAGTGTTTTCACAAATAAGACTTCACACATTCAGCATCACTATTATTCCTTTTTGGTGCCATTGTTAATATCCAGAGACAGGATGCTGTGGTGAAAAGATTCCAGATAAGGAGAGAGAAACACAGGAGAGTAAAGGGTACGTACTGGCTTGACAAATATCAAGCTAGCTCACCTTCCCCTGATCAGTGAAGGCATTGAGACACATACTGGCTTGACAAATATCAAGCTAGGTCACCTTCCCCTGATCAGTGAAGGCATTGAGACAAAAGGAAAAAATTCTGCAATGGAACCAGCCTAGTTTCTAATTTTTTTTCCAAAATTTAAGACACCAATGTTCAAGCAAAACCATTGAAGGAATATCTTGACAAGAAATTTTATTCATGATGTTAATAACAAAAAAAGGCACAATAACGTGACTGGAACAATGCACAGATAACCAGCACATAGAAGAGCGGAGCTTACGACGATGTTTCGATCCAACTTGGACCATTTACAAAGTCACACTGACTTTGTAAATGGTCCAAGTCGGATCGAAATGTCGTCGTAAGCTCCTCTCTTCTATGTGCAGGTTATTTGTCTATTCATGATGTTAATACAAAATGTTAGAGATTTTACTGTACAGTGGTCCCTCGTTTATCGTACTAATCCATTCCTGGAGGTGCTACTATTATCGAAATCTACGATTTTCGAATCAATTTTCCCCATAAGAAATAATGTAAATGCAATTAATCCGTTCCTGACACCCAGAAGTATCAACAACAATTTTTTTTTACCTTAAAGATAGATTTACATGCACAAAAAAATGAACATTCAACATGAATGTTACCTTTATTGAAGGCTGTTGTTGATGAATGGAAGACAGGGAGGAGGAGAGAGGGAACAGAAGATAGATTTACATGCACAAAAGAATGAACATTCAACATGAATGTTACCTTTATTGAAGGCTGTTGTTGAATGGAAGACAGGGAGGAGGAGAGAGGGAACAGAGGTTCTTGTTTGGAAGGGGAATCCCCCTCCATAAGGACTCTAGGTCACTTCAGGGGACACTTACCTAGCTTAAATATAGATTTACATGCAAAAAAGAATGCCAAATAAATGTAAAGCACTAACAAAATGTAAGAACATAAGAAAGGAGGAACACTGCAACAGGCCTGTTGGCCCATGCTCGGCAGGTCCTTTACAATTCATCCCTCTAATGAAACATTTTCCTAACCCAATCCTCAGTGCTACCCAAGAAATAAGCTCTGATAACTCTATTCACTCATTTGCAAGTCCCACTCAAATCCAACCCCTCTCACTCATATATTTATCCAACCTAAATTTGAATTTATGTCCATTCTGTAGTACGGAGACCAGAATTGAGCTGCATAATCTAGGCGAGGCCTTACTAATGATGTATAAAGCTGCGGTATAACCTCTGGACTTTTGTTGCTTACACTTCTTGATATAAATCCCAATAATCTATTTGCCTTATTACGTACACTTAGGCATTGCTGCCTTGGTTTAAGGTTGCTGCTTACCATAACCCCCAAATCCTTTTCGCATTCTATACTGCTAAGTTCAACATTATTAAGCTGGTAGGTGCTAGGGTTATGAACATTTCCGAGCTTTAGAACTTTACACTTATCTACATTGAACTGCATCTGCCACTTTTCTGACCATGAATTGAGTTTGTCTAAATCCTCC